TTTGTTTGATGATCTGAATCTTTTAAGTGTGACAAATATGCAAACAATTAAAAAAAATAGGAAGGGGGCAAAAACTTTTTCACACCACTGTACATATAACATTATTTTTTATATTTTAAATATATTTGATAAAAAACATAGTAAAAACTGTTGTGAAATATGATTACAATTTAAAATAGCTGTTTTCTATTTTAATATTTTTCAAAATATAATTTATTCCTTCAATGGCAAAAGCAATTTTCAGAAGGTATTACTGTTTATATGCTGGTATTGTGATCAAAATTTCTTATAATTATCATAGTTGAAAACATTTGTGCTGCTTAATCATTTTGTGAAAAATGGAATACATTATTTGATAAATTGGAAGTTCAAAAGAACAGCATTTATTTAAAATTGAAATCTTTTACAACAATGTAAAAGTCTTGAATGTCATTTTTTTATTATTATTAATTGAATGTGTGCTTGCTGAAAAAAAGTATTATTACTTTTTTCCAATAAATAAATAAACACAAAAAAAACAACTTTTGAAACTGAATCTGCTTTACAGAATTTAATATGCTTAAAAAAAAAAATTTTTTTAAATCTGAATTGTGAGATAAGTTACATTTACCTTTTTTACTTTCTTTTTATATTTTGGCGGAAATAAGCTTCCATAAATTTGGTACATAAAAATAAGAGGGATAAATGCACAGTTGCCATAATATCTAAATAAACCCAACATGTGTGTACAAAAACAACTAAACGTGGACCTGCTTCATGCTATATAAACTATTTAGCACCAAATCAGTCCAAGGGCACGAATAATAATAATAATAATAATAATAATGCATGTTGAATAAAGATTAATTTCTGAAGGATCATGTGACATTGAAGACTGGAGTAATGATGCTAAAAATTCAGCTTTGATCACAGGAATAAATTACATTTTAAAATATATTCAAATAGAAATAAAAGAAATGAAAATAGTAAAATATGAACTAATTGCATATTAAAACTGAAAAATAGTTAAATATTTTACACTGTAAAATATTTCATAATATTACTATTTTTACAGTATTTTAAACAAATAACAACAGTCTCTGAGATTTATTTTAAAAACATTAAAACATCTTACCGACCCCAAACATTTGAGCAGTAGTGTACTTGAGATTATGAATTAAAATATGTTGTGAAAAGCTCTTCATGTTGACTTGTTCTATCCTTGTTCTTCCATATTTCTATTAAATATTGCATTATAATAACCAAAAAAAATCATAAAAGGTGCATTTGAGTCATCATTAATCTGATTCCTTCATAATCTGCCGTTTATTTTGGAGGCCAAAGATGCTCGCATGTTTATGTTAAGCTAAAACTAACATATCTCTGTTTTCCTCTTGCTTTCTTTCCTACAGCAGGAACAAGAGACCAGCTACACCATCCTGAGGTCAAAGGCCACAAACGTTACTCTGAACGGCCTAAAACCCGACACCACCTACCTGCTGCAGATCAGAGCGCGAACCGCGGCCGGATACGGCGGTAGCAGTCGCAAGTTTGAGTTTGAGACCAGTCCAGACTGTAAGCATTTACATACTTCATGTCATTCTGTTCTCTATTTACAGTCACATTCCCTTGCTGTCACAACGCCGGATTCAATCTATTCACAGCTGTGCAGCACAATGAACAATACAGACAAAGGCTCGCCATTCCCTTGGTTTCTGATCCAATACACTGTCATACAAGTCATTTACATAGTATAAACCACTTGGCTAAAACGATACATGCTGCATCTTTTGTCCCATGATGGTATACTGTTGTCTGCAGCACTATTAAGCACTTAGACTGAGCATTTTGTAAACCTCTATATTGTGGTGCAGCATTGCTGAAGGCCTTTTTATCTAATGAAACATTTATAGGAAATCAATGCACACTCATGTAATGAAATGATACTGTGAGTGGCTCTCCACAGGTTTCTGAGCACGATCAGCCATCTATAAGCGCCTCTGTATGTATAGCTGGTGTGAAATGTACACCGAGGTGCTACTGAGATCATCATTTATGCAGAAAAGGTCTGAATATGGACTTATGTTTCTCAGTCACCAGATAGTCCATAATGAAAGAAAATGTTTTATGAATAGAGATAGATATGTAGGATAGTGTATAAATTGTGTAAAATAATCTGATGACTTGATTATTGAGTATTGGGATGCAAAGCTACAGATCTAAAAATATACATATTTCCTAGGAATTATTTTGGATTAATCTTTTCAGCATCGGAGCTAATCATTTACATTGGCATGCAACCTCCTGCTGCTTCTTTTTTTTTCTCACAAAATGTGTTTTTCTTTGCCATCACTCAATATGTGTCAACACCATCTGATAGAAAAAAACCTGTGCTGTCATGTCACATATTTATGATAAATATTTAAAAGCTAGCATTCAGATTTGATTAAGAATGGATTGAGAATACAAGATTGTTTCAAGCTTACTGTCAGCTCCATCTACTGAAGAAAAACAGACAGTGTTGACGGAGTAAAAAATGCATTTTTCATATCACAAATGTTTTAGCTACAAATGGGAAATTCTTATAATGTGGGAAATTATCTAAAAATTACAAACACTTTACTGTTTATGAGTTGACATATCATCGTTGTGACAGAAAATGTGCGCACAATTACTTGAAATTTAAATTCACTGTAAAAAAAAAAAAAGTCTGTGTCTGTGTGACATTGTTAAACTCTTGGCAGGTGAAATATTAAAATATTAAACGGACCTTCATACACTTTAGCATATAAAAAAAACCTTATTACAGAAATGTTGTACTTCAAAGGAATATATAAGTACAATCTGAATGTAATGTTTTTGAACACTTAATTGCATGATTGAAAAAGTATAATACTTTAAATTAGGTGAACTTTAGAGTGCTTTTTTATACATCTTTATTTCATAATTACTTCTTTGTCTTAAATATGGTTAAAGTACTGACAAGCATTCATGGTAAACTAAAATATACTGTCATTTCCGTTGAAACTCGCAAGTCAAAATATATTGGTAATTATACATTTGTAATGATGAAGTTGCAATTTAGTACATGTAAAATATATTAACTTTAAATGTAATATCAAACAACACACTACAGTTGAAATTACATGTGTTAGTCAACACATCACAATAACTGTACTTTAAAGCATGACAAAAAAATTTTTAAACATATTGATTTAAAATGTAATTTAAAATCAAATGTTTAAATTTACGTTTACAGAGAGCGCTTTTTAAAAGTGTACTTAAGTGTGTTATAAACATTTATGAAGGAGTACTCTCTTTAAGTGAACTTAGGTAGACTTTTATTTCATTAATATTATATTATCTGAAAGTACTTTTATTTTAAATATACTTTTAAAATTTGAAGCAAACTACAAATGCACACTCAATACAATTAAGCACACTTCTTTTTCACAAGGGGATATAGAGTGTCTTTTTTATTTCTTACTGTTTGAATCTGTATGAAGTATTGAGTTATGAACTAAGGATGGAGGGATGTACTGTAGGTTTAGTGACAGATAATGTCATTATTTTGATAATAAAAAAAGAAATGTTACATGCTTGAACAGCATGGAAAGCCCTTGAAAAGCTGCATACTCTGTCCAATGTGAATTTAAAATGTCTCTTTCTCTCTCTCTGTGTCTTTTCCCACAGCCTTTTCCATCTCCAGTGAGAACAGTCAGGTAGTGCTGATCGCTGTCTCCTCCGCCGTGGCCATCATCCTCCTCACTGTAGTGCTCTACATTGTGATTAGCAGGTCTGTCTGTCAGTCAAAGCGCAGTCACGCAGGGCTTTAAGTGTGCCCATCTTGAAGCTGTCACTTTGCTGTCTCAAGTCTCTCCCCAGGACCCTTGATCTCCCACCCTTCAGATATGAAGTATGAAAATGTGTGCCCCTCCATGTCTGCTGCCTATATATAGTCGTAGACGATTCACTTGGCAGAAGCCGTGTTATTTTTCCTGCCGAATGTAACGGGCACCGTGAGAGTCGAGTGTCATGTCATGCAGAGGGGCTGATTTTGGCAAACGGCATTATTGAAAGAGTTCATGAATCTATGGCTTATTATAAGACCCCAGAATACTGTCATGCCTCATAGCAAAGCAAAACAGTCAAGTTGTTCCTGGCTCTGACTTTTGTCTGTTCAGGTTTTAGTCACTTTGTACATCGTTTAGAGAAGCAAAATGTTCCAGTTAAAGCCATTAAGAATAATTAACGCTTTTCATCACTTTAATTGACAGGTTTTGTAGGTATAGCAAGTCCAAACATCCAGATGAGAAGAGGCTGCCCTTTGGCAACGGCCACTGTGAGTATATGTATACCTCAATAATTCTTCAGTCTTACAAGTATTCAGGTTCTTTCCAAGTATTTAATACTCATTCCTTACAAATAGCTCAAATCAAAACAGAGTTTTGCTCTAGTATTAAATGTCAGACAGCCCACAAGAACCCAGTAATGGTGGAGGTTTTTATAATATCCCTTTGCTCCCGAGTTACAGCAAGCCAATTGTCCATATGCTACCATTTTTCACACTGGCAGAGGTGTCAGGAAGGAAATTTAATGGAGGCCCACACAATTTCTCTTAGATTAACCTGCATGAGGTGCCCTGTAGGACTATAGCTTAGCTAACTGATTAGGTCATCCATAAATCCATCTTCAAACCCAGCAAATTGCATTTCTTGACAACCTTACCTTCCTATCGTTAAGATTCAAATCAACAACCTCTGCGACAAAATATGGTACATCCCAAGCACAGCAAATGCTGCTCATAAGCATCAGTATTTTTACAGTGCAAGACACTTTTTGCAAGACAGCACCCGGGGTTGTCACATGTGGTTGCCGCAAGCCCGCCGGACGCTCCTTCGTCGAATCCACCGGCCGCGCCGTTCTCAAGCCCGCCCATGTCAGAATTGACATTTATTCTTTTTCATTGCGGTGTTTATTATAAATGTTGTAATAAATATGTAAATAAATGTTTTGAATGTTTTAAAATTCATGTCACAGACTTTAAAGAAAAACATTTTTTCAGTTGATTTAATCCCTCCCTTCCAGCAAGCTGTCACTCATATGAGATTGCAGCAATTAGCATCCAACGATCCAATCAATTCCCGACTAAATCAAATCCCACCCTACATTTACTCATTCAAGCAGTTATACCTAAATATGTCACAATATTTATAAGTCACTATTTCATGTTGATTTTAAGGTGCGCTCACATTTTAGTGTTGTTCTGTCAAATTTAACAAGCCAAATCCAGTAATTTCAGTGGGAATTGGCACGAATTGCGCCTGAGTGACATCCAGTGGCAAAGAAATTTTCTTATGCACATTTCTCATTGGGTTTAAGTTTTGTGAACTCTGACTCAAATTTGCAGCTGTGTGGGCGGAGGTTCGTAACTTAGCAACCAAGCACAACGTAAGATCCAAAATGGATGAGGCACTCATGCCAGTTTTCTACACACTATAGTTCAATATTGTAAAATGGTAAGTAAAAAAGTTATTCAGGGTTGGATTGGCGAACATTTTTTATTATGTTTTATTTTTCTGACCTTTATACTTTTAAGGAAATGTAATAAAAATGTTTGAAAATCTCATGTTACATTGACAGAATGTTCACCATTTAGAACAATGAATTCTGATTGGTCTTCTTTTCTAAATCTATTTCCATGCCAAACTGTGATTGGTCTTTTCTTTCTTGCATTTATTCAACCATATAAAGAGTGAAACAGTCGGGTTCCAGAAAATTTAATTTAATTAATTTTTAACAATAACCTAATGATAAACCTTTAAAGACAGATCTACTGTGAGCACAGAGGTTGTTAGTCGATGGTATACGCTTTTATTGAAGTCACAGTGAGCAGATCGCACCAAATGAGCTCTGAGCTCCGCCCACTCCCATGAAGCACCACAAATAACATAATCGAGTTGGTTTCCCCATACTCTCAAAACACTTAAATATTTGATTATATATAGATGCATATTTTGCAATAAACCCACAAAAAATTGTGGGTTTATTGCAAATACAAAAATTGTATTTCGTTCAATCGTGTTTATTTTGTTTGATTTTCAGTGAGACTGCCTGGCATCAAGACTTACGTGGACCCACACACTTACGAAGACCCGAGTCAAGCCGTGCACGAATTCGCCAAGGAACTGGACGCGTCCTGTATTGCCATCGACAAAGTGGTTGGGGCAGGTATGCGGCGTCATCCCTCACTCTTTGGTGCAATGAAAGAAAGTTACCTGTCCGGGACCAAAATACACTTGTAACAAACATGGCAGGTGGTGTAAATGAGAATCATTTAGCACTGCAGCTGGAGGTGTGTGGCTTTGAGATGGGGAAAGGGTCCCTCCCAGTGCTCATCCTCACTACCTCAATGCCTTTAATAGACTGCCTGCTGCCGGAGCAGAGGAGCATGGGTAAGCAGAGCACGCCTCCGGCTGGGATATTATATTTCACCCCCCACAGCTCTCTCTCTCTCCGCATCCCTGATGTCTTAAACAGCCAAGCACATATCAAGATAATGCCTTGTGATTCACGGCTCTGTAGACAATGCAGCAGTGCCCAGCAAATAAAGAACCCGCTCACTTTTGATGTACCACCGTAAAGTCGGCATACAAACATCAGGGCTCACGCACTACAAATAAGCGCATTCCCTGCTTCAGATGTCACTTCTATTGTAAATCTGCATTTTACGGCTTTCGTACACCTTGGCAAGCGATGCAAAAGTGCAGAAAGAGGTTGGAGGGTTTTTTTATATAGCTTGGAAAATGATCTATTAGCGTGGATTCGGTAGACCTTCATTTGTCTGCATAGTTTATCAGAGTGATCACTGCTGAGGATTAAGCCAGGTTGATATTTAAGATGGTCAACATCATCTGAACGCTGGCCAAGTCCAGCATGGCGGCTGTTTAGACAGCTTGCAATTATTCCGGCTAAATTTTTCCAGACATCAAGCCTGGATTTCACCCATCTCTCTAAACTTGCATGGGAAATAAAGTAATTGCACATCAAATTACGCAAATAGGACACGGCCCTGGCTTGGATGTCTAGGTGGTGACATCATCTTTACCCAAATGTCCATCCAAGTCTCTGTCAGCATCATCCATAGTGGAGATCTGATCTCCAGCTTACACCTGCGTACGCACCCTAGAAATCAATTTAAATGGGATCTATTCATGCGATTGCGATTCTATGCGATTGGCCTTTATTATAACTTAAAATAACTGTTAATAATAAATGTAATTTATGTAATTCATAATAAATGTTATATATTCCTCTGACACAAAGCATCATTACTCCAGTCTTCAGTGTCACATGATACTTCAGATTTAATTATAATATGCTGATTTGAGCTAAAAAAAATTATCATTGTTGAAAACAGTTTTGCATGCAATGCAATGTCAAATTACATTTCAAACCACATAAAGAATTATATCTAATGCATTTTGCCAATTTACAAGCACATTTTACCAAAAATGTTCTGGGAAATCTCCAGTTCATTCCTATTGGATGTTTTGTCCCATCTTCCCACAGATCACTATGTCTTGTTTCTTAGACAGACAAAGCTTAGATGTAATTCTTAAACCTGACAACTCCAGTGAGGAGAGGTAATTAACATGGGATGCAGTTTAATTAGAACAGAAATCAGTGCTTCTCATGTTAGCCTTAATTTTCTCTAAAACAACCGTCTCTCACCAGGGGAGTTTGGAGAGGTGTGCAGCGGCCGACTGAAGCTGCCGTCTAAGAAGGAGATCTGTGTGGCCATCAAGACACTCAAAGCCGGATACACAGAGAGGCAAAGGCGGGACTTCCTCAGTGAAGCGAGCATCATGGGACAGTTCGACCACCCCAACATCATCAGGTTGGAGGGTGTGGTCACACGCAGTAAGTTACACTCCACACCTGTTTAAAATGTATTTCTGATACCATTTTTATTATACCACGTTAAAAGGAGAAAGATGAGTGATTTAGTTGTTTTTTGCTGCATGTGTATGAAAAGCATATGATAATTCTCATGTGCTCTATGGTGAGTTGAATCCGTTCAGAAGATTAATTTATCATGTTTAGATTTGTTAGTTCAACGCTCGTCCTTTTGGGAGTCTCATATAAAACATTAGCTGTTTCCAGTTATGGAATATTAGTGGATGTCATGAAGTTGGCAAATCCTCTGCACAGAAAGCCACTGTTTTATTGACCTCTTTCTTGTAACATTGGGCCAGAGTCCAGCATGAGAGACAATTCACGGAGGGCTGTAAATCACGTATGCTTGTAAATCTCCCTAGATCAGTCTCTATTATGTAGCCTGATCAAAGCGAAATTCTCTAATCCATTCCACAGTCCTCCTCAAGGGCTCCGTAGGGCTGTTTTTCCTAATGATATAGGCGAAAATAGAAAAAAAAATGTTCACACTTTACCTTATCTGACTTCAAACAGACTGCTAGTATTAAGGCCGGGGTATATTTCATTTTGCATGTTTTGCTCCGTCTCGCGCACAGCCTTCAGAATTTAGTACACTCCATTGATAGCGAGCACAGATGGATGTGTATGGCGTATGCGCATTACCAAGTGAACCCAATGTATTTGATATTTAAATGTTCAATCACTTGCACGTACGCACAAAAATCAGGCTTTTCATGATTTTTGTTTGCATGTTCAAGTAATTAAATGGCTAAATATAAATTGTGGGCAAATGCACTTTGCAATACATATAGTATCGGTCAACGGTTTGGAATAATTATGATCTTTTTTTAAAGGTTTTTAAAAGATGTTTTTGAATTTGTTTTGATCAAAATAAACAAATAAAACAAAATAAATGAATTAAAATTGTAACAGCATTACAATTTTAAAGGACATAATCCTCATAAAATGAGGATTATGTTGGCTGAGTACATTTTACTGTGCTCACGCTTCAGAGTTCTTGACTGTAAATAATGGTAAAACTTCTTTGTAAATGAATGTCATTTGTGGCTGTTGACTGAAACACTATCGGACTTGAAGACGCTTCTTATATAGATGTGTACACACAAGATGTGTGTGTGTGTGTGTGTGTGTGTGTGTGTGTGTGTGTGTGTGTGTGTTTAGAAAGGTGGTGCACTTTGCATGTGATTGAAAGTAAGTCTGTGGTGCAGAGTTTGGGCTGTGGGGCCAGGGGAGGTTGGCATGTGTCTCCTGTAGCCTCTGACGTGATGTGATTTATTAACTCTGCCCTGTTAATTCTTAATAATCCAGAGACTTTCACACCCCATTTAACCTGCTGCTTTTGGCCCTGCGTTAGGCAAAATATTTGTGGAGCTGCGATTGCTGCTTCGCAGAGACGAAGGGGCCAGGATTCTGATTATGAGCGGGATTTCAGGAACAAAAGTTTAGAGGAGAGATGTGCGGTTTAAGGAGGAGGGATTTTTTTTTTGCTATCAAAAACCATAAAACAACTCAACTGAAATCTAAAGACCAGTCCATTACAGTTTGGGTAATGATTTAACTGTGCGCAGAGAAACATTATAAGTGCACGCTGCACTACCAAAAAATGAAAAATATTTTCCAGTAAATATTTGGATATCATTAAAACAAGATACATTTATTTATACTCTATTTAGTTTTTTTTTTAGTTTTTTTTTTTGGCAAATAGATTTTAAGCATAAATCCAACACACTTTGTAGGATTTATGGTTTAAAAAATGTTATTAAGAAATGTTAAATTAAAAAATGTTAAATGTTATATTTTCCATTGGGGTAAGAACCACGATAGGTGTCGTATTCCTATAGGTAGATGTGATCAGCTGAGAATCAGCTGATGCAAGCTTGACTCACGTGACCTGCCAGAACTAACGCTAACGCTTAATTTCTGATTTGAAAATCTTAGTTCTAGATATGCTCTCTAAACACTCTAATATTTTTTTATAGTTTAGTCTCATTGATTTATGCCGTTTTGCTTCCCAAGTAAATTTATAGCATTTTAAGATGCAAATACTGATAAAAAAATATATATATATATATTTTTTTTTTTTTTTTTTTGCAGTGTTAATACCACTCTTTGGAATAAACGGCTTGATGTGAGCAAGACTGTTGTTACAGCATATTCATGTGTTGTGCAGTGTTGCTCTTCTCCACTCATTTTAATTGCATGTTTCATAAATCTCATTCATCACAGTGCTGTGCTGTCTGCTGTTGGGATGCTGGGAGGGGGAAAAAAGACTAAATTATGACTACTGCACATACATATTGTGACAACACGGACTGGTCATCAGGTTATTATTGATATAAAGTCGCTTTACAAACAGGCTTTGAAATAAGGCGCAGATAAAGTGCAGATGATAAAACCGAGTGGCAATGATTTATGAGTGGCAGGACGGAGAAAATAAAGCTGTCAGACAGTGACAGTTGACCTTGTGTTCCGTCCAAGTTCAGGCCGAGACTCTTTTCATCCTGCAGGAAACTCTTATTTCGGTGAAGTCACAGTAAGTCACGGTTATGATTGCTGACCCGCTGTGTCAGGAGTGTCATGTGAAGAGCTGCACCTCTGCTCTTGTTATGGGCTTCAGATAATGTCTGTGATGTGTTGAAAACCTGGTGTGTAGCCATCAACCTGATCTCTTCACCCTCTCAAACTCTATAAAAAAAAATTCAGCTGCTTAACCCGGAGCCTTTTATAACACCCACATGTGGCAGCGCCGAGCACTATGAGAGTGAATCTCATGAAACCTGTCAGGAACTCAGATCACATTTCAGCCCAGAAACAAATTGTGTTTTAAATTATATTTGGTTTGAAATAGACACGCCTCATGACATTTTCATAGCAATTAAGCATATATATGTATATATATGTGTGTGTGTGTGTGTGTGTGTGTGTGTATCTATATAGCAATTCTCATTATTAACAATATGACTCTCGTTCAATTTTCATTACTGTATTTTTTTTTTTTTGTAAAAAAAAAAATTGTGATTCAACATATATTTTATTATCAGCACAAATTAAAGGCAGCACATCAAATATTACCAACCGTATTGCAAGCAAGTAAAGCAAGACAAAAAAAAGCTTTTATTAACTTAGTAATGAAAGAATATATACATAATTTACCTTAATTTACCATTTATTACACTTTAAGTAATTTAAATAATATGTCATTATTTTATCAATATGTTGTGTCATTATATTTTGCCAGCATTTTATTTTATATTTTTTATTATTTTATAATTTATATTTTATTATTTTAGTATATTTTAATATTATTTTTTATTATTTTATATTGTTTCAATATTTATTTTATTTTGTTATTTTATATAGTTATTTATTTACCATTCAAATGTTTGAGGTCAGTCAGATTTATTTTATTTTATTTTACTTTCCAGCAAAATGGTAATTAAATTGATCAAAAAAGTGACAGTAAAGTCATTAATCATGTTTTAAAAGATTTCTGTTTCAAATAAATGATTCTAAAGGATCATGTGACACTGAATCAGAATAAATTACATTTTAAAATATATTAAAATAGTTATTTTAAATTAATAATATAAATAATATATAATAATATTTCTCAATATTGTGCTTTTTATGCAGTCTTCATGAGCATAAGAGACGTCTTTCAAAAACATTTAAAACCCTTACTCACCCCAAACTTTTAAACGTGCTTAATTGTCATGAAAATAATGCAAAAAATGTTCTTGACGGGTTTCATGACCCGTTCACTCATGAGTCTCCTCTTGACGTTTTTGATGTTGTCATTGAAATAACTTTGGAAGTCATCATGCTGAGCATATATATCTAAACTCGAGGGTCGAACTTATCCATGCCTTTGAATGTATTATATTTTTCTCTTGAAGATGTTTTCTTTTGTCCAACATAAGCTCATTAGTTTGCAAATTGGGTAATTCAGCCTTCCAGCAGAAATGACAGCACTGCAGCAAAGCACAGTGGCACATCTTTTCTCGATTAGACTGAGACATGTCTGAATTTTCTCTCTCCTCAGGTAAACCTGTGATGATAGTGACCGAGTACATGGAGAACGGCTCTTTGGACGGCTTCCTGCGAGTGAGTGTGACACACTGAGCGCATTTAATGAGACTCCATGATGTATGATCAGAGGAAAGGCACAGAGGGCTCATCTTAAAATCATTTAAAAACCCATCAGCGTCTTAGCTTCTCCTGCTTCCTCTCACAGTACCTGCTTATCACAGCATGCCTGAAATTCTCCCAAGCTCTCCGAACATTTCATTCTCATTTATACAAACAGACACAAATTGCTCTCTGCTGGTTCACCTATGTCTCTATTTGCTGCGGAGAGAGCCTGATTTTTTTGACGGTGCCTTTGTGTTTGCAACATCGCCCAAATTCATCACATTCGTATTCGCAGCCGAGGCCTCTTTAAATAGACACTGACACTACCTGTGTTTCAAACACTTTGTAGTGTCAGAATTTCACTTGAGCTTATATCCACAATGGCCTCATTCTCTCACGCAGAACAGACCAGGCTTGTGTTCAGAAGAGAGAGCGGATTCGCTCGCGCACAGACCCAAGCGGCACTGGGGAGACTGGCGTGCCGCCTGCCAGCCCGACCGTGCCAGTTAAACAGACTGGGCATGCTCTGTCCTTCAGATGACTTCCTCTTTGCCCATCGCTTGCACTGTGAAAATAAACAAGCAAACAACAGGCTGTGGGACGGCCCATCTGAAGAGTGCTGATAAATGCGCTAATGAGCTCATTAAATGGGTCAGCTTAACCTTTGGCTGTGGCCGTCCTGCCTTGGCTCTAATACACCTGACATATGAATTTATCAGCCTTGTGTCATTTTTCAACAGTTTACCACCAGCAGCGCTTGCCAGACAATCTGCTATTTGGAGAACAAAATGAACACGCCAGACTTTGATGCATTGGATGGACATTCGCACTCATAAAAATATTTTTGGTTTTGTTCAGTAGTGAATTTATTGAGAGTTGCACAAAGGGGTCCAATGTAGCGTTTCATAATGTCTGGTGGTTTAGACTTGTCAGGGTACTACAATGAAGGATAAATATACAGTGTGATTGTAGTGTGCAACATTTGGGTTATGGGAGTAAAAATCAAAATTTTTTTTTTTCAATTGAGAAATTCATTTCTAGCCAGAATGTGCAAACCTTTTAAAACACAATTACAAAAAGCTCTGGCCTGATATAGAAGCCACAATTTGATGTGTTTTCAACTTAATTAAAACAACAACAACAAAAATAGTTGAATAGTGTAATTTCTAGTGGAGAACTACATTACCCATAATCCTGAAGAGAGATCTACCAATCAGAGAAGTCACTGTTACCATGGAAACTCAGCACTGACCGCCCATTTCCGTGAATCTTATATACAGTATTTGTATACACTAATTTTTTAAAAATATATATTTTTTTTAATCATAATTCTCTTCTGCTCACCAAGCGGGCATTTACAGCATTTGATTTGAAAAATACAGTATAAACATTAAAAGTAAAATTACAACAGTTTCATAACAGTTAAAATAACTGTTTTCTATTTTAGTATATTTGAATATGGTGATTTGCTGCTCCACAAACATTTCTGAATATTATCAGTGTTGAAAACAATTGTGATACTTAATAATATTGTGGAAACTGTGATTCTTTCTTTTTTTTCAGGATTATTTGATCAATAGAAACAATCCTTTGAACATTATACATTTCTTTACTGTCATTTTTGGTCAATTTAATGCATCATTGCTGAAAAAAAATATTAATTTCTAAAAAAAAAAAAAAAAAAATTTCATTGGTAGTGTATATTAAGAATATTTTATAATAAACTTTAAATACATATTATTGTGTATTTTGAATCACTGACTTACAAAGTCTTATTATTGACAATAATTTAAGTACACATCCTTTCCTGATTTTCAAATAGGTTTATGTCCATTCAAAGTTTGTATTGTTGTAATTCCTGTCAGAACATGTAAAAAAAATAAAATAAAAAAATTCCAGAATCAAGGCCGTCAAAAAAGTGTACACTAACAGCTCTACTGAAATGAGTACGCAAAGGCAGATGATTAAAACAACCTGAGCAAACAGGGCGTGGAGTTAGCAGAACCTATACGTGTGTCTGCACAGGATCCCACTCCCAGAAATGAGAGAAAAGTCGCAGTGTTCTGCAGCAATTTCCTGCGCACTGCAGCCTGGCCTGCACTCTATCAAAGAGATCTGTCATCCTCCCTCCAACGCATTTCCTCACCACTGCTCATGTCACTATTATTAGCAAGCCTTTGAACCTCTCTGAGCTCCTTTCTCTTCCAGGTGGTCCAGGGTTTATTTTCATCCAAACTTAGTTTGTATGCAGTACATAAACACTCGCATACAAAGAAAGGGAAAATAGGGTGGACAGAGACACGGAATGAGAGGTAGACAGAGCGAAACTCACACTGGACAACTAGAGGAACAGTTCAAACAATAATAAAGATGTTGACATTGTTTACATCTTATGTCGTTCCAGACCTGTTTGAGTTTCTTTGTTCCATGGAACACAAAAGCAGACAGTTTTGGAGGATGTGCTGGTGTTTTTTCCATGCAATTGGATTGAATGGGAAATGGAGCCGTCAAGTTCAGGATAACCAAGTATCATGAAAGTTGTTCATATGACCCATGCAGAATATTTGAAGTCTTTTGAAATAATAAGTATGAGAAATAGACTGAAAGATGTGATTCACCGAAGCATCTTGACGTCTGCCTTAGCTTTTCTTGGTGAGTTCATGAAAGTTTATGAGAGAAGAGAATATGTGAATAAATCATTCAGACCACATTTATGAAACAAATCAATCAAATGATTGATGGATCAAATGATTCATTAAAAAAAAAAAAGTCTGTTTTGAACAATTTGTCCATGACTTGCATATTCTCACACTTTCACAAACTTGGATGTCAATTTAAGCAGTTAATAACAACTTAAGAGCTTGTAACACTCCAAAGAGAAAGGAAAAATTGAAATCGCATCATATGACCCCTTTAACATAAGTGCATAGTAGTTAAAGACTCCTTATATATAGTGGAACCATATTTTTGTTCTGAATTTTTCAGGATTATTTGATGAAAGAACAGCATTTATTTTAGACAGAAATCTTTTGTAACATTGTTTTGTAACACAGTCTTTACTGTCATCAACAAATTATTTATAAATTATGTTAAATAATAATGTAAAAAAAAAAATTTTAAAAAAACTTACCACCAGTGTTGGGTAAGTTACTTTAAAAAAAAGTAACTGATTACGAATTACTATTTACAACATCAATATTGTATTTAAATTACTTTTCTAATTACTCGGTCTGAAATGTAACTTAATTACTCAATAATACTTAATTACTTGTTATAGCACTTGTATATCATTGCTATTTTGATTGCTTCCATTGTCCTCATTTGTAACTCGCTTTGAATAAAAGCATCTGCTAAATGACTAAATGTTAATGTAAATGTAAATGTACTCAATAAGTAACTTAATTATTCGAATCATTAATTACTTCATAAAATCCCTATAAACATTGATGCATAGAAATAAAACTCTTAATTCTTTCAGTTTGAGTTAAACATGTAATAGTTTAGCCTTTTATCTTTAAATCAACTGTAATACTTAAGCATTTTAATTTTTTTTAAAAATGTAGGGGAGCGCGAGGCACAAAATAATGCGGGGTAAGTTGTAACACACGTGGTTTAAATATTTCCACACATGCTAGCATAACCAAATTTACAGCATTTACTACTTACCATATCAACATTATATAGAGAAAAAAAGTGCGCTAAAATTCAAAAGTCTTTTCGCTAAACATCGCTAAACATTTATTTTACCATAGTAAAATTATATTTCTGGTTTAAGTATATTTTTCATATCAGTTTTTATTACTCATTTAAAATTAGACAAATCTGCTATTATTTTAATCTCCAATCTGTTATTTATCAGTTTAGATTATTTTTTAATGCTTTATTACTTTAATACATTTTAAAGGGGTGGTTGATTGCGATTTCACTTTTTTAAAATGATTTTAGCAAATGGCTGCAATATAACAAAGAGTGAAACATTTAAGGGGGTCTGAATACTTTCCGTACCCACTGTATATATATATATATATATATATAACATTTATGTCCCCCTCACTTCTGAAATGATGGCTACGCCCCTGCTCTGAAACCCATGTGGATTTACACAATTTGAGAAAGCCAAAAAGTGTTACTTTGTGCCCCGCTGTCCCCTAACCTTCTTTGGTTAACAAATAGAATAACTCTGCAAAATATCTGAATAACAAAAAAAGCTTGAGAAAAGTAAAGTTTTAAGTAACTTTTATTAATGTGCCTTAGAAGAAAACATTACTGGTGTTCATGAGATAAAACAATGAAACTGACATATTTTAGGGTATGTCAGTGCAATTTTCTTTCAGTTAAAACAGCTCCGAAATTTATTTTAGTCTGGGACTAGGCTTTAGCCTTGTCTGTGAAACCAGGGGTACATGTATCAAGCTGTAAGCATTAAACTTGTCAAAGAAATTAGTACCATATTTCATACACACTGACACTGTACATGTATACAACATTAGCAGTCACTAATACTAATTTTGTCCACTCCTAACAAAAAAAATATATGATTTTGTACTCTCATTCATGCACATATGCTTTGTCTGTATTACCACACAGTTCATAAACAACATTCTGATATTTTATAAACTAAATTCTTATTGCTTAAAACACTATAGAAACATCGACATCTGATAGTAGATCGGTAAACACAGATCTAAACATTCCTAGACTGTAACATTCATAAAGCCGCGTCAGATCGCGCTGTTCTTCTGAGGTAAATTCCGGCTTATTCCTCAAGTCTTCTTCCAAAAACAATGAAAAGTAAATTAATCTTTATTTTTATTTTTATTTATTTTTTGTATCTGGGTGATGAGGGTGTGCAAGTATGGCTGCAGATAATGACGGGAAAGACTGTACCTCGCTTTAGTTTAATACGGATTACATAATCAGAGAATATTAGTTTTCGATTTGAATTGGTTCATTTAAAAGTAGACACTTCAGGTTTTCTATAGACATATTTCTCACGTCTGTGTGTCAAGTATTTGCTGAGTTTCGGTTCGTTTTTTTTTTGTGACGCGTTTCAGAAAGAAGTTCACGGAGAGCAGAAAGCGCACCCTGTTTGTTTTGTTTATTTTACAAAAGCAAAATTTTTTTTTCTTATTGTCACTGTGTACAAATGAAAGTAGATCCTTTATAGAGCCGATTGATTTTAGTCTTATCTGTATCTGAGTATTTTAAGTTCCCTTTCAGTCGGTCCCTCTCGACGTCACGTCGGATGACCGACGAAATTGGGATCTCGCTTAGAGAGACCAATCCACTTCGAGTGTAAACTAAATGAGCCAATGCACATTGGCATGCGATTATCGCTGAGCGGCCGGGTCACCGGGTCGGCTCCTCAGCGAAAACCTGAATATGCGGTGCATCTGCTGCCTACTTATACTCACGCTGTGATCAGCAGCAGCTGGATGCAATAATCGCATGCCAATGTGCATTGGCTCGTTTAGTTTACACTCGAAGTGGATTGGTCTCTCTAAGCGAGATCCCAATTTCGTCGGTCATCCGACGTGACGTCTCCGTTCCCTCCTTCAGGGAACGAGGGTTACCATACGTAACCGAGACGTTCTTTTCTCTCTTATCAGGAAAAACTGCAGGTGAACGCGCCGGCGCGCAGAGCGTTAAAGACGCTGCATTCAGATAGATGATAAATTTAGATTTCAAATTCAATATTGATTTTAGAACTGCTGAAATTATTTACAGTATGTAACGCAAATACTTTATTAGTAACTGTAATTAGATTACCTAAAAATGAACAGTAATCCCTTACTTTACTTTTTTCAGTGGATAAGTAATTTAATTATAGTAACACGTTACACCCAACACTGCTTACCACAAACATTTGAACAGTGATGGATAGATGGATAGATAGACAGACAGACATTTTCTGTGTTCACATAGCAAACAAAGTTGCTCCAAGGTTTAACTTTGTGGATGGAGAAACTGTCTTCACTTAGAACATGCTTTAGTGCTTTATTTGCAAGCCTCAAATCGAAGGTTTTCTCTCAGCCATGATTAGACCCAGACGCAGTCTGTGCTGATTCTGTGGAATGATTTTAAAGATGGTAAAATGTGTTAAACAGAGCTGAGAGGACTAGACTCTTTTTCACAGAAGGAACATGCGATGTGTAGAACTTGTGAATGATCAGCTTCCCAATTCTGCAGAAACCTACAGAACAAATTCCACATGGGCCAGACCATGGTTGACCAATGCAGCTCACTGTCTCCTCTCAGCCGCCATGTCTGATCTTCATTCCCTGGGATTAATAACCATATTCTCCACTCTCATTCTTAAGAGCAGCATCCATTATCAGAAGAGATAACTAATGCATAAATACACTTAGAGCCAGGCATAAATCCATAGCATATGAGGCTTTAAGAGATATTGCATCTTAAATTACCAATACAAGTGTCACCTAACATAAGTGTTACACTGATTTGTGGCATATGCTGGGGAGGGGAAGTCCAACATGTTATTAGTTAGATAAACCCAAATTTGGTGGGTTTTCCTGGTCTCTGACAGCTAACGTAAATGTATGTTTTCACCATTACAACTAGACCCCCCACTGCATCATTGTTCCCTACAAGAACCTCGAACCCACAAGAATGTTGGTAGCTGTCGCCTTCCCCTTCTATTAAACCTAAAGGATACATTGTGTCACATTTTACATTCATTAGCAGTGATCTTGCAGGGCCTGTTTGTACGCGCTCAATGGGGAGGCCCGCGCACAAGTGGGTTTATTTTTTAAAGGCCTTGCGTTTGGAGAATGTGGGGTAGGAATTGTGTGACTTGGCCAGGTTGCTAGTTGGCTTTGGCTCTACCTTGTTCTCTCTCAGTCTGCCTCCTTCATGAAGGTTGAGTGTAGAGTTACCCCAGCAGCCGAGCTGGGTAAATACAACACAGATCCTCAGAGAGAGAGGAATGAGGACAGGATCGATGAAGGTGGTGGTGTACCACAAACCAAGAGCAAAGATAGAATAAGAGGAGGAACTGGACAACTCATAGTAAAATAAATTACAAATTGTAACACTCAATATGGTGGTTTTAGGAATTCCTGCCTTTATAGTTAAAAGAGCCAACTGAATATTTGATTGAGTTGTTTTTATGTCTTAAAGGGATAGTTCACCCAAAATTTTACATTCTGCCATGTTACTCACCTGCATGTGGTTCCAAACATTCATTCATCTTTGAAACACAAATGAAGATATTTTTAATGAAACCTAAGAAATTTCTGTTCCTCCATTGAAAGTCCATGCAACCAGAATATTGAAGCTTCAAAAAGTTTGTAAAGACATCATGAAAGTAATCCATGCTGTATGAATCGAGCAGTTTAAACCAAGAGACATATCACTTTATATGATGAACAGATTTTCAGTTTATTCACATACACTAGAAGAACCACCAGAAGTGATTTCCTTCTTGGTTCCCCAAAGACAGTTTTTAAAAGTACCATTTTTTTCATAGTTTGAAGTAGGGCTGCACGATAAATCGAAATGGAATCGAGATCGCGATTCGACAGAAGCTGCGATTGTCATGCGTATCTTTCAGTGAAGCACGGTTCTGTGATCAGCAGTAAATCTCCATCCAAAGGCCAGAGGACGCTCTCGCGTTTGCGATTTTTTTTGCGTAACTTGTCAGTGAACTACGGCTATGTGCAGTAAATTCTGCTCCATCTGAAAGCACGTGATGATGATTTCCTGCTGATTACAGAACCGGCATTACTATCAAAATGCGCATAACAATCGCATTCGATTAATCGTGCAGCCCTAGTTTGAAGTACATTTTAAAAATCTAAAAGACCTCTCCACTACAAAGAACCTTTCGTGGAATGGAAAGAAATGTTCTTCATGGAACCATCAATACCAATAAAGAACCTTTATTTTTAAGAGTATAGAGCTCATCAAATATTGTAAACAGAAACTCAACTGTACAGTACTTGCTTGACATGCTGCTTATATTCACCTTCATTGTAAAGACTGCACTAGATTGGCAAATCTAACTATAATTTGCTCATAACGCTGTTTGAGGGGGTTGCCACATAGGGCCGGGGTCCCTTGTGCTGGTGGTACAGCTAGAGGCTGTGTCTAAATCAAATTAACGCTGGTGCTGTATAGTCAATTTCACTAACACAAACAAATCCTAAGGTCACCTCAGAGCTTGTTTCAAACTTTGAATTTCATTCATTAGATGCATGGCGCTCTCAGAAATCTCCCTTCATCCGCTCTGACACCTTACATATGGCCTGTTTTAAACGCCAATGCATACAGATTACATGATTTGGCATGTGGACATTAGAGTACATGTTTGTTATTCAACTAATAGTAGAAATATGTGTTTGGAAATTGTCACAGATGGCAAAATGTTTCCTTGACAGATGGATTTTGTGTGTTTACAGGGTGGCAAGATTCCGATCCGATGGACCGCGCCAGAGGCCATCGCCTATCGCAAGTTCACCTCGGCCAGTGACGTATGGAGCTATGGGATTGTGTTATGGGAGGTCATGTCTTACGGAGAAAGACCTTATTGGGAGATGTCCAATCAGGATGTGAGTAGGGCGGCTGTCAGAGCAATCCAGCATCTTCCCTGCCAAAATAGATCAGTGTTACATATGTTCGATTTGATTTGAAGGCACTTTAAAAATGTGCCTTTTGTATTCCACAGAAAAAAATAAATACATCTTAAGGGGCCATTCACACAGAATGCATTTCTCCATTCCACTGCGCTCATGTCTTACATCTTTTGCAGTGTCTTGCACATGACACAGCGTTCTAAAAACGCAGCATTATAAAGAGTTTAAAAAGTTCAACATTTAAAGGGGTCATAGGATGCCCCTTTTCCACAAGTTGATATGATTCTTTGGGGTCTTAATGAAAAGTCTGTAACATAGTTTGGTTAAAATTTCTCAATGGTAGTGTAAAAAACACCTTTTTTACCCTGTCAAAAACAGCTCTTTTCAGAGCAAGCCGTTTTTGTAGCATTTTCCTTTAAATGTTAATGAGCTCTGCTGACCCCGCCCCTTTCTTCCGAGTTGCTCTCAGAGAGAGCACTTTTACTTTACTTTTACTTTACTCAGTTCAAACAACTTGTAAAAGTGCATGTAGCATCCTATGACCTCTTTAAAAAATGTCGACACCTTGCGTTTTTTTTTTTTTCCATTCCCCTGCCCACTTCTCACATTTTTCAAGGCTCTAAGAGGCCATTGACCCAGAACACATTTTTTGCATTTAAAAATGCAAGATGCAAGTCAGTAGAATGAAAAAACAATCACGGTTTAGAGACATGAAACTTCTGTAACTTCTTTTTCTTGAGTGCCAAAGTTTTCAGAACCTCATGTCATGCGTAGACGCTGCAAAACTTGCAGGATGCAAGCTTAGCGGTACAAAACGTTTGTCTAGCATGTTTACATATAAAACAATGGAAAAACAGCACAGTGGAACACACAAACATGTTCTTTGTGAATGACCCTTAAGGGGCTGTTCACACAGAACGCGTTTTTGCTTTGAAAAATGTGAGACTGCGCAGTGGAATGGGGAAAAAATGCAAGGTCTTGTTTTTTAAAAGTTGTTTTAAAAAATTAGTTTAAATTAAGCAGAGTGTTTTCAGAAAGCTATGTCATGTGCGAGACACTGCAAAAGACACGCGACACAAGCACAACAGTCAAACATGTTCATCTCGCGCGTTTACATAGAAAAACAATGGAAAAGTAGCACTGTGGAATCAAAAAACACATTCTGTGTGAACGGAATAACATGGAAGTGAGTAAATTGTCCTTTCTGGGCAAACAATATAATTCAACTAGAAAAATGTTTCATGATCAACCAGCTACCAGGCTAGTTTTGCATAGTTAGACCATTCATGATACTCTTAATGAAAAATTTTTGCTAGCTAAAGCTAGTTTCACAAAGACAGCTAACTGAACACAATGAGTACCCAACAGTGAAAATTCACAGGCCGAGAGAAACTATTATTCTATAGGTCTTACATAAAGATAAGAAAAAGAGCCATGTGTGGAATTGTGGTAAATGTGTAGTGGTTTGTTATGAAATATTGTGTTGATATTGTTATTAGTTCTTTAGCGCTGACTCTGAGCAGTGGCCTCGTTGCTGCAGTTCAGTAACTTCACCCTGAGCAAATAAGGCCCTGAGAGTTTATTTGAATTGGTTTATGGCAGTGCTGATTATCGAGTGATGAAAAGAAAAAGGGAGTAACAGTTCTGGAGCACTTATGAGGCAACTGATTTTGTGTTGTTGTATGGACGAAAGAGCTTTATTTTTATTTTATCCTACTGGATGGTCACAGTTGGCAGGCGAGAAAGAAATATGTCCTGAGGAGCTCAAAGGACAGGAAATTGAAGAAAAGTCTTGCAGTGCTTCATCTTTTAAAGGAATAGTTCACCCAAAAATGGAAATTTTGACAGAATTTGCTCACCCATATGTTGTTCCGATCTTTTATTACTGTATATCATTTATTTTCTGAAACACAAAAGGAGATGTTAAGGTGCGGTCACATTTACCATTGTTCGACAAGTTTTCACAGGCGAAATCTGGCCATTTCAATAGGAATTAATGAGTGAGGGTGAAAAATTTCCCCACACAGAAAAATGTCCACGTTTCGCAACAGGTTCTAGATGAAAACTGCTTGGTTTGAAAGTGACCTCTGTGTGAGTTGTGCTTCATACATCGTTACAGCATTTGACAAAGGACAATGAAACTTTTTTGCCTGCAAAATTTTGCTAATGTGTCCACACCTTCAGACAGAATGGCAGAACTTCATCTTGACAATATTTTCTTGTGTGCCTCAGGTGATAAAAGCGGTAGATGAGGGCTATCGTCTTCCCCCACCCATGGAATGCCCTGCCACACTTTACCAGCTGATGCTAGACTGCTGGCAGAAGGACAGAAACAACCGGCCGAAATTTGAGCAGATTGTCAGCATCCTGGACAAGCTCATCCGCAACCCCAGCAGTCTCAAAATCACGGCCAGCACTGCTTCCAGGTACGTCACCCAGGAGCACTGGCTCTGGACCGAGCCCTAGATACTTGTTCTGATCCCAAATTGCCTTCTGCTCTTGTCTGCTTCATGTCACGTTCAGATCATCTTCTCATGCTCCCTAATGAGAGGAAGTACTCTCTCTTCCTCCTGAACTCTAATTTGTATCTTAAACTCAGGTCTAGATTCATCGCAACCTCTTACAGCTGGTCACACACAGTTATGACTGAGATGTACATGAGACCACAACATTTTCTGCAGATTATTTTTCTATACAAGATCAGTTTATTTTTGGAGCCAGTTTGCAGAAACAGTCCTCAGACAGGTGGTGTTTGTGATAAACGTTTGCTGACATCCTGTTTCTTCAGTATCCAGGATGTAGTACTAATGTTATTCAAAGTATTATACACAACGTGGTCAAAAGTTAACACCCCCTTCTGGTTAACGGGTTTGGCAAGACCCCTTGATTCCAGTGAAATCTCACGCATTACATTCTAGATTTGTGTACTTTGCGGTAACAGTTTGGGAAAGGTCCTTTTTCCTGTTCCAGCATGACAGTACCCTTGTGCGAGGTCTATTCTGAAATGGTTTGACACTTTCTGGTGTGGAAGAACTGGACTATCCTGCACAAAGTCCAGACTTGAACCCCATTGAACACCTTTGGGATGAATGCACTTTTGACCATATTTTTATTTGTATTATAAGGCTTTTATGCATCCTGATGTTACCAGACTGCACATTCATCTTTCCAAATTAGATTTTAGAACAGGGTGCTCTTCAGGGAGTCTGCGACCCCAAGGAAGTATGTGGCAGTACTTCACAGTGTCTGGCAATTACTATTTAATCTCAAAATAATTTGTGTGGAAAAAAATCTCTATCCTACACTATTTTCCTCCATTGCAATAGGACTCAATTCACTAGAGGGTTCATCCGGTAAGCGCTGCCCCGTGCAGTATGGACGTAATTGGTATAACCAGTAGCTTTAATATTATGAAGTATGTAACAGTGACTAATGGTTTCTTAAGAAAGTGAAAATGGGTCCCAGGGAGTTAGCATGTAATTTTCCTGATTGGCTTTTAACATGGCCGATCAGGGGACCAGCACTGGGCCCAGGTGATTTATGGCTCTCCGGGCGAGACACACTCTGAGGTTCCGCTGCCGCTGATCTGCAGGCACAGCTGTGTCCAAGCCCTTGCACCTCATTTATCTACATGCCCTGCATGCTAATGGCGCGGTACTCCAGCCATTCTCATGGATGGACCCTAGGCCTAAAGGCCAGACCCAGAGAGATGGCGTGCACATGCTCGGAAGTAAAATGTCGGCACTCTCAGGACAAGAGTAGGGGCGCGATCCCAGAGCCTCCTCGCAGCAAGAGATGCATTCTTGTCCGTGACAAAGCTACGCAGATGTTTCTCCGTGAGGAACATCCTCCCTCCTTTCACATCCCTAGAGAACTTTAAAAACATGATACTAAGCAGCCTCGGTTATTTAGAGGTCACTACACCAGAGGGGAGAGAGGAAAGCAAAAGAGTAGAGAGGGAACCAGCAGAGAGGCCGAGTGTTTACCTCTCTTCTTCCTCTCCCTCTGGCCTGTTGTGCTCCTGTCGACTGACGCCTCAGATCTCTGACGCCAGCAGCTGATGCAGTCAAATGCGGCGTGTATACACCAGAGTTTAAGCTATCACTTCCATACCCAACAACAAAGATTTTTCAAAGGTTTTTTTTCACCTTGTAAGTTTTAGTAAGAATGGAGCTACACATCACAACAAACAAAAGAGGACTGGACACCTCTTGGTTTTCCTTTCTGCTTTTCTTCCCCATGTTGACCATTATAATTACAGATACAAATTATTTATCATATTAGTACATTACACAGACATTATTTAAGTAGTCCTGTCAGTCGGTTAATGTATTTAGTTATGAGTCATATTTTTTTCAGCATTAAACATGGTAATAAACGTGTCAGTTCATTTTTAATGAAAGAATAATAAATAATAAAACCACAGATAATTATTAGGTTCTGCGGTTTGTGTGGGTGACGATTATAGCATAAATGTATGCTATTAAAAAAAAACACCAAAACAACTTTTCCCACATTTTGTGGACATAATTGGCTGTGATAAATTCCAGTCAGCACTGAAGATTCTGATATTTTTTTTCATATATGTGTGTGTGAGCCTAGTGAACCAAACTGAGATACCATTTTGAAGGCTCAGGAAACCTTTGCAGGTGTTTTGAGTTGATTAGCTGATTGGCATGTCACCATATTCTAATTTGTTGAATTGGTGGGTTTTTGTTAAATGTGAGCCAAAATCATCACAATTAAAAGAACCAAAGACTTAAACTACTTCAGTCTGTGTGCATTGAATTTATTTAATACCCGAGTTTCATAATTTGAGTTGAATTACTGAAATAAATTAACTTTTCCACGACATTCTGATTTATTGAGATGCACCTGTATATATATATATATAGTTCAAAATTTTGTTTTCACTGATGCTTTGAATTTAAAAAAAATGTTCATTGTGTTCTTCTGTTTTGTTTAGGGATTTAGTTTTTTGTTTTGATTTGTGTTCTTGATTTGTTTTAGATTTTTTGTTTGTTTTGATTAGTGATTTTATTTTTTTATTTTTTTATTTTTTTTATTTTTATTTTTTTTCTTGGGTTTTGTTTTCTTTTGTTTTGGTTTTGGTTTGGTTTGGTGACTGCTGTACATTTAAGACTAAATGTGAACGCCCTCTTTGCACTAAAAATCACATACAGCACTGCTGCACATAGTTACAAGCTGCATGTTTGATGTTAAGTCCAGTGTTATCTTCCCTGTCACATCCTTAAATAAGTATTTTTCCAAAGCTGCATCACATTTAGAAAGGTTCACAAAACAACTGGCACATAAATGTGCTGCTCAAACTGTGAAGTTTGGACTAAAACGGTCAGAGACATTGTTAAAAATAAACTTCAACCTCTCTATCCTTACATTAGGAAAGGATTTCTAAATATCCTGAGTGCATCGGTGCAGTACTTGCAGACAGGTCTATTCAATGAGCTGTGTCAGCACTTACTGATCCTCTTTGCCAAGTAACTTGGATCCATTCAGCATTCTTTTCCAGTCAACTCAGCGTACATTATTCTTTTATTTTCATCACACAGTAATGGAACACTGGGAACATGTGGGTCTGAGTGGACTTCCTGCTATCTTAATTTGTTTATTTACATTAATATAAATAGCAGTCCCCAAAGGGATTGTAATCTCATTTCCATATGTTCCCCTGGTTCTAATCAGCAGCTATTGGACCTAAATTTTTCACAATGTGATCTGGAATTGCTTTCATAATGTTGTTTTTAGAGGACCTCCAAATGTGATTATGTAATAAAATATCCACATCTGCCCATAAAAGGATTACACGTTTCCATACTGTATTTGCCAGAAACATGTTAAAAGTTTGTTCATTTAATTGAGTAGCTAATTACACTTCAAAGGCTGTATTTTTGTGTAGGTTTATAAAGGCATTGGTTAATGAGTTAGCCTTTTACCCACTAAATAATGGAAACTAGCATTGGAATGTGAACAATGGGAAGTCATCAGAAACAGAGATGTCTGTGTATTCGAATAAACATTCCTAAATGTATTGCTTTCTTCCTGGGGAATGCTTGCCATAACACAGATGGAGAGAATCAGTCCCACTTCTCTGCAGGTATTTCCATATGGAGACCTTGCATATCAGGCTTGAAGGCCTTTGTGTTTAGCCTCTGCTTGCACTTTTATAAGCTTGTTTTCGCCATAAATGACATTTGTGAAACGTGGTGGGAATTGCAGACGACCACAACTTCAGTGTTGTATTTTTTCAGTGTCAGCAAGCTAGAGGAACAGTCACGGGGTGTGTTCTCATGAAAAGCTGTTGTGTATTGGTTCTACAAGGGAATACTGCAAATGAAAGTTATTTGTGCTTCATAAGTGTGAAGTTTGTCATTTATGTTGGGCTGCACAAACTAATACTTTAATATTCACAATACATCTAAAAGCGCTACGTGTGTTTTTCATCTCTTCCCAGACCGGTGAATCTGCTTCTGGACAGGACCAGCACTGACATCACTTCCTTTCACACAATGGGTGATTGGCTGGAGAGCGCCAGGACGTTGCCCTGTAAAGATGCATTCAGTGGGGTCAGCTACAGCTCCTGTGATACACTGGCCAAAACCTCAGCAGAGTAAGAGCCTTTCACTTTTTTGTATTATAAAACTAAAATCTAAACTACTGTTCAAATGTTTGGAAGAATTACTTTTTTCTTTTAATGTTTCCGAAAGAAATCTCGGTTACACTTTATTTTAAGGTGTCCTTGTTACAGTGTAATTATACATTTAAGTACTGAGTAATATTAATTAATGCTGCATTTTTATTTGATTAAGAATACAGTTGAAACAGTCATTTTGTGAATATATTATTACAATAAAAAACAACTGTTTTCTATATTCATATATTTTAAAATGCAATTTATTGCTGTGATGCAAAGTTGAATTTTCATCAGTCATTACTCCAGTCTTTAGTGTCAGAAATCATTCTAATATGATGATTTGGTACTCAGCTATTATTAATGATTCTTAATATTATTGTTGAAAACCGTTTTTGCTGCTTAATATTTTTGTGAAAATCATTATATATATGTTTTTCAGGATTCCTTTATGAATGGAAAATTCAAAAGAACAGCATTTATTTGAAACATAATTTTTTTTGTAATATCATTAATGTCTTTAACTGCCACTTTTGATCAATTTAATGCATCCTTCAAATATATTAGAAAACAATTATTTTAAATTGTAATAATATTTCACAATATTATATTATGCAATATTATGTTTTGCTGTACTTTTGATCAAATATGTGCAGCCTTGGTGTGCATTCTTTCAACAACATTAAAAAAAACTTTTTGAATAGTAGTTTATTTGTGTGAACACTCATAAGTACAAACATACTTTTATTTATACTGTATATATCATCAGATTTGCAAAACAGTTAGACATAAAAATTCTCTTTTTTTTCCTTCAGTTTTGATCTTTTTAAAAGCACTTTATTTGGTTTGAGAGGCAAAAAGTAAGGGGTTGCCCCTTTTTTGTTCATTCTTCTATTATAAGTGTTGATCCCTGTGCTGAAGGGTTGCATTCTGTACTTTTAAGTCCAAGGCAAAAGACAAGCAATATAATTTAAGGTTGTTGGCATAAAACAGTTTAAAACTGATGCAGAAGACGATGACAAATTTATTTACAGATCAGTTTCCAGTAAACGAAGCCCAGATTTGATGGATTTGAAATCCTTTAAAGGTGGCCATTACATTTGTTATTAATCTCCAGTGACAGTGGTTTAGTAATGTTTTCTTCTGTTGTAATCCAATAAATGGAAGAGAGGGGGGAAAAGAACTCTTGCCAAAAATAAAAGTGCTGTCCTCCCATAATCCCCAGTCTTGGAAGCAATCTAAAGGGTTGAGTTGAGCACATTCCCCCAAAGTCAAACAAATATCTAATAATAAAGACCCTGTTCTGCTCCTCAGTGTGGATCTGCATTTATGGGAAATGCTTTGTAGATGTTGATTAGGAACCTTGCATTGCCTGGTCAGCATCTCCTGAGTCCACTTTTTGATTCAAATTACGAGGTATTTGACAATGTAAATAATTTGACATTCATAACTTCTGAATGATCAAAGGGCCAGTCTGGGGACAGTGGCAGTACTGTGCTGCACATTACCATCAGGACTAAACATCTAAACACTAAGCAGTCTGTAATTAAGGCTGCTTGTGGTTATATTTTGTTCAGATGTCAGCGTAAATAATCACATGCAAATAGCGGCCCTCATTCATGACCCAGATTGGGTTATTTAACATGCAGTTTGTCTCCCAGTGTTTGGCCTTCTGTAGTGAGTGGACACCACCACTCTTTTGACGCTTTTCCACTGCATGGTACGGCACGGTACGGCTCGGTACGGTTCACTTTTTGGGGGTTTTCCACTGGCTACAGTACCTGGTACCTGGTACTTTTTTTAGTACCACCTCGGTTGGGGTTCCAAGTGAACCGTACCGTTACCAAAACGTGACGTGTAAACTCTGCTGATCACTGATTGGCCGGAGAGAATCGTCACTACCTGTGTCTCTGAACTTGCGACACAAACACAAAAGAAGCGCTAGATTTAAATCAGCACAGCCAGCGAAGGATCGAACGCAACTGTTTTGAACGAGCGCACCTTTTTTAACAACCAAAAAGTTTTGTTGTCTGTTGTGGAAGAACAGACGTTCCTCTCGTTGATAGCAGAGGAGCGGATCCAGCGAGAGCTTGATGGGGCGACGCGGAATGAAAACGTTTTTTTTTAGGAGTCGTGGTGTAGAGGTGGCGCAACTATAACGACATGTGAATAATCCCGCCCACTCTAAAGCGGTACTGAACTGCAGTGGAAACGCAAACCGTGCCGAGCCGAACCGTGTCGTGCCGTACTGAGCCGTGCCGAGCCGAGTCGTACCACGCAGTGGAAAAGCGCCATTTGACCCACCACAGAATTAAATTAAAATATTTGTGAATTTTAAGAATAAATATGTTGAGTTTGTGCTTTAACTGCTGAAAAGACCAATATCTCATTATACTGTATGTTGGGTTCTGGATGCTGCTTATGCTTAACAACTGTACTAACCTTCTGCTACCTCACTAGCTTAACCAGCAAAACCACCAACCAGATTCACCAGTGAGAGCATGCAAGATCAATCAGCTTCAATAAGTTTTGATGGTAAACAGCACCCATCAACTAAGCCAACATCAACCCATTACTAACCAGCCAAAGTGAAACCACACCGCTATAAACCACTACTAACCAGGCTAAAACCAGCACCAAATCAGTCCTAGACAGTATAAAGTATATCAGCATCAAACCAGCATTCAATAACATAAACCAGAACCAAAGTAAAAGCACACCAACATTAACCACCACTAATCAGTAATAACCAGCGACAATTCAACACTAACAAGCATAAAAACCACAAAAAGTCAACACAGACCAGCATTACACCAGCATGGGAATTTGTATTGGTCTTTTCAGCAGTACTGCACCAATTTGAGAGACCTAGACAAATCTGTAGTCATAAAGATCGAAGTCTGCAGCCTGAAAATTGCTTCATAATATTGTTCAAACTTAAATAAGCCATGTAAGCTATTGCAGTTTAATGGGTCTACCGGGAAGATGAAGAATCGCAAGAGAGAGGTCATTATTGATGATTCAGTCACTTATCACTTTACCTTGGTTGTGTGCCTCTGTTTTTTGTTGTTGATGAAGCTATAGTAAGTTTACCAGATGTTTGGCCTCTTATTGCAATTTCATGGTAAACTGTGCAGAACGTTAGGCTCTTTAATCTATCATTGAAGGCTTTACCTTATTTAGCACAAGTCACATTAGATTGTAGACAAATCTGAATTGATACAGCAGGCAGCGTTCAGTGGTTATACCTTCTTGTGTCTTTTTGAGTTATTTCTGCAAAACAACATATTTTGTTCAAAAAATTTAAGTTAATAGAACTCAAGTGGCATTTTTTCATAGTAGTAAATAAGTTGTAAATTGCTATTTAAGACAAAGCTCCACTGAGGGATTCCTTACAAAAAAAGATTTTTTTTCAAGTGTGCTACTAGAATACTTGAAAAAAATAAACTAAAAAAAGAGTGTCTACTTTGTCTACTTCTATGTACTTATCAAATATACTTAACAAATGTATACTTAAGTATAATTGGTTTATACTGAGAAGTAAACATAAGAGTCAAAGTATATTTGGCCTATACTTGTGACTAATCTTTATAATTTAGTATTCTAAGTATGCTTGGCTTGTAGTTATGTTTTGATAGAGTGGAAAATAAAAAGATTAATTCC